ATTTTCTATTGTTCCATTAACGATAGAATTTTTTTTTTTTCATTTATATCTTATTCTTCGTCGCGTTTTTAAATTTTTATTCTGGTACTATTGGTTGCTGTTTTGCTTTCTAATATTCAAGTCTCCAAAAACTGATTGGTAGATCACAAAAGTTTTTGCTTTTATGGACATTGATGCCGAAATAAAAAAAAACTTTTTTCGGAAAAAAGTGAGGTCGGAAAGATTTAAAGTGATGCTCAGGATGATGAAATTTAAGGATCCGATTGCAATCTTAAACTGTGAATATAATTTAAGTGTTGAAATTGTGCAACATTTTTGGTATAGGTTCTGAGTACATTAAAAAAAATTTTTTTTGCTTCTATTGTTGACGACTTTTTTTTTGCAAGAAAACACTTTGTTATTGTCGTCGCCACCGTTGTTGACTGAATAATCCAAGATGGTTGTCTCAAGAAAAGATATGGGGATTAGTCAAAAGTTGAATAAAGTTTAAATTTAAAAAGTGACTACATTGATGATGACAAATTCGAAGTTTTGCTTGCTTGTTTAATTGTTATTCTCTGTTTTCGTTTGCTTTACTTTGGAATCATCCTTTATTTTTTTTCACCCAACCGTTATTTGTATACAGAATCGAACTGTACAAATTTGAATTACGTGACGAATCGTCTCGTCATTTTTTATATTCAATGCGTTTTTTATGCAGGCGCTTAGTTTTTGAAATTGGGCTGTTGACATTGAAACCTAGAGATAATTTATGGGAAAGAGTGGGGAAGTAATAATTATGTAATGCGACTGTCAAAAAGCCTTTACGCAGATCATATATTTTTCCGGGGCTGAAGAGGAAGGATTAAGTCCACACTTAACTGGCATCAGTGCAACGACCACAGCAACGGACAACAATTATGGCGACATTAGTGACAACAACAGAACAGTTCTATTCTTGATTTTGTGTTGCTGAGAATCCTTGTTAGCGATCGATGGCTTTTGACAATGTTTTCTGGCTTGTAATAGCTAAAAAGTGGATGAATAGCAGCTGTTAGGCTATTTCCGTGCTGTGACAGGTGCAATCAAATCGATTTGCCGTTTTGTGATGCATTTTGCTGATGTTGATGATGATGATGATGATGATGATGGTGTTGTCGTTGTTGATTTGGTGGTTGTAGTCCTCATCTCATTGTTTCTCCGTCCCACTCACTCCCGAAATACCCGCCACCCAATATTTGTGTCTGCATGTGTGTCTGTGTGTGTCATGCATGTCCTTTTATCTTTGTCTACTCTTAGTTTGGCTAAGGCTTTAGTTGGTTACTCAATATGGGCAATGGTTGTCACAGTTGATAGTGTTAGTAACATTACTGCTGGCTTAAGTTCAAGAAGCTTGAGTACTTGGGGCTTTTTCTGGTAGCAAAATGATGTTGCCATATAAATATGAATATAAATACAAATATAGATAAATGCATATATGTTTATTTATTTATATTTATCTACATTTATATTTATATTTATATTTATCTATTTGTTTGTCTACATCTGATGTGCCTTCTATTTCTGGACGTTATTGAAATGTTTACTGACTTTCAGGAGTGATAAGCATTTTCTGAATGAGATACCGAGAGTAAAGAGATAGTGGATGTGGGTCAGGAAAATGGAATGTTTAGTTTACAGGAAAGAGACTAAATTTACCGCTCTACAACAGTACTTGTATTTTTATTGCTTTTACGTATGGCGGATTATAATTGTAAAGTGAAATTTAAAGAGGACTCATGCATTTTTTTGCATTTTTCTCAAATCGTTGTTTAGAGTATTTCTTGTTTACCACACAGTAGAATTTTTTGCACGAATGAGAAAGAAAGTGACGCCAAGAGTTGCAGGGTTTTTCTTGCCTTCATTTATTGAATTTGCTTTACTTGATTTGTTTTAGTTCGTTTGATCTTTTTTTTTCTGTTGTTATCAAGTTTTCAAGGAAATGATCGGTAATCAAGAAATAAGCAGACTTTATTTTTGTTTAAGTTTACTATTCTGCACTCGATCAAATTGAATAATAAATTTAGAAGAACTGGGAAGGAACAAGTAGGTGAATAAAAGATTGGCCTTATTTCGCAAAAAAAAGGCCTTAATTACATAAAATTTTTATTTGGCTGGGAATATAAATCGAGGACACAAAATTTGCTCTAGATCAACCAGCATTTGAAAAAAGACTTTTTATGATATTTTTTTACATTCTTTGATTTTTTTCTCTTTTTGCTTTTAATAATAAAAAAAGTTTTTGTAGAAGGGTTTTTTTGTTTATTTTAAAAGAGTGTAATTGTCGGGTTGATTGCTCAGTGAAATGTATTTACGACTGTAGAAAATGTGCTAATAAATAAAAGCTGTTGGACGTATTGTTTTGTTTTCAAAGATCTTGTAGGACTTTTTTGGGTGAACAGTTATTTTTTACTGTTACTGAAAGGTTTTTTTTGCAGACAAGTATCAAGTAGCTTGACGGCTCCGCCGTCGGCTACGGTAATCGAGGCAAATGGCAAATTGCTTTTACCAGCAGGTATCGATGTGCATACTCATTTCTCAGCACCAAATTGCGTCGACAATTTCGAAGTAGGATCTAAAGCAGCACTTGCTGGTGGAACTGCTACGGTATTCTTTTAATCCATTAGATTTTTGTTACTCCTGAATGACCAATTTTTAGTAACTTTTGGAGAGTTAACTTTAACATGCTTGCGTATCTTACTAATTTACAATTTGTCTTATTCGGACTAGTTTTTTTCAACTGTGAATGGCTTGTGGCATATGTAAAAAAGTTCTTGTTTTTTTACTTAAAATATCTGCTTAAAAAAAGTGTCAGTTAAAGTCATTTTGTTTGGCCACGAATTTATCTTAGGTTGTTGACGCAGTTCTACCTACTGAAGGAGAGTCGTTACTGTCGGCTTATGATCGTGTACGAAAGGCAGGAGAGGCTCAATCACTTTGCAATTTCGCACTAAGCGTTGTAATTGTAAAGTGGGACGATTCTGTAAAGAAAGAGATGAGCAGATTGGTCAAGGATAAAGGTGTAAATAGTTTTATAATCGATATTCATTCAGATGATGGCCTTTATCAGGTGAGCCATTTTGATCGATTTAGCTTAAATAATCAGAGGAAATAAAAGTGGTCAAATACAACGTATTCGGTATAATCATGGACAGCTGGTTACAACTTTTAGAATAATTGAAACCATTCTAGAAATCGTGTCTGCTGTTTCTAAATGATATTTCCATGGTTTTCAGTGGTTTATAATTAATTTTTTTTTCTTTTGCTTCAATGGTATTCTTTTTTTGCTGAAAAGGTTAATGGGACAACTTTTTAGGCTTTTGAACATTGTAAGACTCTTGGAGTTCTTGCGCGTATTTTCCCAGAGAACAAAAACATTGTCTCGCTGCTCGAGAAGAAAATGCTCGCTCTTGGAGTCACTGGACCCGAAGGCTACTTGCAAGCGAGACCCGAAATGGTTAGTTTTATAATTTTCTGGTATTGATGCTTTTTTTTGTTAGTCATTAGTTACACGCTCGCTGGCATATCTCTAAGTGACCACAGTAATTTTTTTCTATTTGACGTCTGTTTTACGAGCGACTAGTTCTAGTTAGAAGCAGAATATATCGACCGAGCTTCGATCTTAGCTCAGCTGACTAACTGCCCCTTATCTGTCGTTGGTCTATCATCAATTGAGGCCCGCAATGCAGTAATGCGTTCGCGCTCGAATTCTCTCTTATTCCCAGAAGTATGGTTGAGTTTATCTTTCTTTTTGTTTGTTCAGTTTTCTTCTTTGCTCAGGTAGCTTGTAAAGGCCGTTGCTTAATTAAACTTCTTAATAAGTTTGGAACAGAGTTTACATGTCCTTTGTTATTCAAAATCAGTTTATACTACGGGACACAAGGTTGCTTTCAGACTGTAGTAAATATTTTTGTTTTGGCAGTTTATTGTAAATAGACATTCGTTTTTAGGTTGCTGTGGCTGCTTTAGCTTCTGATGGTACTCATTACTTTAATAAATGTATCCAACATGCGTCTGCTCATCTTACTAAGTCTCCACTGCGTTTGGATCCAAGAACCTCTTCACTTCTTGTGGACTGTTTTGCGAGGTATGTGTGTATTATGATGGTCTTAGAACATTATATCTGACTTTGAGCATTAGTTATTTACAGGAAAAATCGTTCTTTATTGAAATTGTACTTGCAGTATCCATGCTTTTTCAGTTGCCCGTTGTGTGTTTGCGTGTCAGATCATTGCGGCCATCGTGAGCGGGGGTCTGGAGATTTTACTCATCTTGCACTTGGTGTGGCTGCTGTGGAGGAACGCATGTGTGTCTTGTGGGAAAAGGCAGTTTATTCTGGGCGTATCGACCCAATGAGATTCGTTGCTATAACTAGCAGTAATGCCGCGAAAATGTTCAATCTCTACCCGAAGAAGGTGCTTTATTTTTTAAGTTTTTTAATAAGAGTGATGTTCATTATGGATTTCATTCAATTTTGTTTTGATTTTAGAAATTATATTGTTTTTACATCCTTTTATCTCAGATATCTAATTTTTATCACTAATACAGCAGTCAGAAATTTCGTGTTTCCCTGTATTGACTGATTGAAATTGATCGCTTTAATTGCTGCCTGAAATTTTTGAGATGGCTTTTTTTCATTCGCCGGTTTTTTTTTCGTGAATTATTTTTTATATAATAATTCTTGATGAACAGTTTATTTGCAGTGTTAAAAAGGCCATTTTTAGGGCAGAATTGCTGTTGGGGCAGATGCTGATCTTGTTGTTTGGGACCCGAACATGAAACGAAAGTTCTCAGCAAAAACGCAGCAGTCACGAAGTGAATTTTCTATATTCGAGTCACAGTCGGTGCATGCTGGTCCTGTTACTACAATATGTGCTGGACGTGTAGCATTTAATTCCGGCAAAGTATGCTTCATGGAATTTAGTTTAGTGTTCTTTTTTTTCTTTTTGCTTAATTTAAAAATTGCTATGAATACAATTTTTAAAGCACGATACGGAACATGGCAGTTTCATTGCACTAACACCACATTCGCCTTACATGTTCAGCGTAATTCAGCAAAGGGATAAAGTTGGTTTTCTTCTGAGCGATTTTATTACATTTCCAACAAGAAACTAGTTTGTCACCCGTTTATTCATTTAAGAAATGCATTCATGCGCTGCAGCCTGCGCCTATTTACACTTCTTTACAGTTAACATCTGCTGAAAAAGTTGACCGTGGTGACCAGTCTAATGGGTCTTCTCGATCACGAGACTCACCAGCGACCAATGTCTCGATGGGTCGTAATCAGTTTGAATCGTCGTTTTCTCCTTCAGGTAAAAACTTTTTAATTGTTTGGGTTTTTTACTTATAGCTGGATCGTTTGTAATTGAAAATCTTATCTTGGTAAGTTTGATATAACTCTAGGATCTCATATGGAAGATGGTCGAGGAGTGCGAGTCTCGACAAAAATAATCAATCCTCCTGGTGGACGTTCTACTGGATTTTGGTGATCGTCTATTTAGGCTGAAGTCTAGTCATTGCTACAAACCAGTTTTCTTGATGTGTTAATTCTTCCTACTCAATTTTTGTTTATGAGCAAGTACTTTCTACTAATCAGTTTAATTTGCATACGGGCCGTAGCTTTTCTGGCTTTTGTTTTTTGTTATGCGCCTACATTCCACGATCGTTTATGAGAAAATTTTTCTCAGTTCAGTTACTTTGTGTGAATGTGTTTGTCGGTTGTTTCAAGATTATTGTGAGCTGGTTATTTGCTAACTTAATATAGACAGGAGGCATTTTACGGTATTCTACTCTAAATATCTAGTCGCACGTTTCCTGTTTTTTTCTCAATGTCGTTTTTTTCTACTTGTGTTTTTGCGTCTGTCGTTAAACGGCCATGCTGTTTTTTCTTTCAAAAACATCATGTTCGGTGGAACTCGATTTTCAGTTAACTCTTCGTATTCTGCAAATGGCTTTGCTAATACGTAATGGCACTGTCGTTAATGACGATTCGATGTGTCTAGCAGATGTCCTCATTGAAGATGGAGTAATTACGTAAGCTTTCTAAGGATTTTGTTTGACTAACAAGCCTTATCCAGAAAAGAACAGCGAATAACGTTTGGCCATATGGCATTCTCCACTCACCAGCAACCCTAAGCTTGATGGACACTTTTCAAAGAGTGTGCGTGGTAATTGTGGATTAAAAGAAGTGGACAGCTACTTCGACATTGTATCAGTGTAGCAAAAATCGTTTTACTTAAACCTAATATCAAATTTTTTTCATTTTGCGCTCTGGAGTAATACGTGCTTCAGAAAGTTTTCAATATAGGCTAAGATATTAATCCTTTAACATATTTCCCATGACGTACATTCTTTGAATATCGCATTAAATGTTTGAAGGTTTATCTGTTAGATCGTATCGCTAACCTCTGCTTGTTCATCCGCAATTAACTTCCCAGATATTTGCATTTATAATTTTTAGTGCTGTAATTTATTTATAATTTGGAATTTGAGAGGAAGGTACTACATAGTTGCGTTAGTTGTCGAATCTCATTGTTTAATTGCTTTAAAAGAGAACTTTTCTGTTTTTTCCTGCTGCTTAAAATTTGACTATGCCACAATAAACAGTTGGAATGAGTTCATAATATGTGGAACATAAAAAGAGGATTCTTTAGCTTTTTTCGCTTCACGCCGGCACAACGATTGTTGAACAGTGCTGGTGTATCGGTTGGAAAGATAAGAGAAGTGGTGTCGGGATGCGTATTTCTTCGTCTATCTTTCAACTGCTCTTACACTTCATCGATTTACTGACCGCGTGAATGATTGAATGACTGACCGACTGATTGATTGATTTCTCGCCTTTTCTCTGATAACTGCTAGTTCCTCTTTTTTTTTTTTTTTAATTTGAAATACGAGGGTTGCATCTATAGATAGTTCTCCAGTAAATGCATGTCACAGGTGGCACAGACAATCTTTAACAGTAATAGTTAATGGAGTTTGTTTTATCTTTTTTTTTGCTTAACGACTTGGTTGATTATAGCATTTCTATTTGATATAGTGCTGTGGGTGCCGATCTAGAACTTCCAAAAAACATCGAAAAGACGGTGGATGCTAAAGGTTGCTATGTTATGCCAGGCGGTATTGATCCGCATACGCATTTGCAAGCACCGTTTATGGGTCAAGTTTCTTGCGACGACTTTAACATTGGATCACAGGCTGCATTGGCAGGAGGCACAACTATGGTACTGCTGAAACTAAATTATTTCACATTTTTTCTATTGATCTGCGGTTGATAAAAATTTATTGACGGCACATAATACGCGGGTTAGAAAAAAATAAAGTAATAAGTGTTAAACTAGAAGTTAAACTCAAGGATTACGTCTTAAGATGTTGGTTAGCACGTCAAAAAAATTTCTTGTGATAAAAAATTATACAGTTTTCTTAAACACTGTTTCATGCAATAAAAAAAAGCAACCAACTAAAGCGGCTCAATATTTGTTTCAAAGATAAAGTGCAAAAAAAGGAATGGACTAACTACTTGAATGACGGTTTTTATTATCAGATATCTTAGAGAAATCATTTCAGATGTGTTCCCCATGGGAACCGTAGGGAGACCGCATAAAAGTAAATTAGTTTCAAACCTTTTGAACTGAAATGTTACTTAACAATGTCGACTAATGTATTCGTTAATTCATCAAGTAATTTTTTGATTCTCAGTAACGTTGGGCTGCAGAAAAATTGGCGTTTATTTTTAACTTTATTTAGGCCCTGCTAAATAATTGGTATTTCAGAGAGCGTTTACTGAAAGAAAAAAATAGTAAAGATAAATTGAGTTTAAT